CTACTTAAAAATGTGGTATAACCTTTACTTCACTACATTTTAAAAGGCAATATTGCACTTTTTAGTACAAGTATCTGACAGCTTTAGTTACCCTACAGGTACAGACGAATAAATTAACATTGACATGTGATTACAGGTTTAAATATCCAGCTGCAATATATAAAGTAATCAAAAATAGCTCCACCTTTACAAGCTTATCAAAATCCCTTCATGTTATATATGATATAAGCGAGGCTATTTTGCATAACATCAAGCTTTTTCTTTCTATTATTGTTGACTTCTCTTGTGTGTTTTCCATCTCCAGACCACGTTGTTGAAGGTTGGTCTAATAGCTGAACCTGAGGGCAGACATTTCCCTACGGGATGCAAACTCTCTCTGATTTGCAAGTGCAGGTAAAACCTATTTTACATATTAAAAGGTTTCTATATGACAAGGAAGCATCCACATTTACAAGATGTGTTGTTCTCAGAGTTATAATCCTTATCTTACCAAATAATACCACATTTCTTCCAAAGTGTCCCGTGTAGAGGAGAGAGAGGAATATTTAGAGTGCCTTGTTGGACTTGACCCCCATTAAGGAAAGATCGGCGGTATTCCCGACTTGAGTTATGCTTCCGACAGAAGACATTATTCCCAGAGGTCACTTTTCAGGAAATGGAACGGTCATTTAAAGAGGACACATTCTGCTCATGTTCAGAGTTCATATCAGTATGTAGTGTCTCTACTTTAAAGAGTCCTCTCCTGCTGATGTTCAGGTGTATATCAGTATGTGTCTGTACTTTAAAGAGTCCTCTCCTGCTGATGTTCAGGTGTATATCAGTATGTAGTGTCTCTACTTTAAAGAGTCCTCTCCTGCTGATGTTCAGGTGTATATCAGTATGTAGTGTCTCTACTTTAAAGAGTCCTCTCCTGCTGATGTTCAGGTGTATATCAGTATGTAGTGTCTCTACTTTAAAGAGTCCTCTCCTGCTGATGTTCAGGTGTATATCAGTATGTAGTGTCTCTACTTTAAAGAGTCCTCTCCTGCTGATGTTCAGGTGTATATCAGTATGTAGTGTCTCTACTTTAAAGAGTCCTCTCCTGCTGATGTTCAGGAGTATATCAGTATGTAGTGTCTCTACTTTAAAGAGTCCTCTCCTGCTGATGTTCAGGTGTATATCAGTATGTAGTGTCTCTACTTTAAAGAGTCCTCTCACGTAGCATTACGGAGCAAACACGGGAGATCGTCTCACCTGAGCTGTTATTCTGATCAAAAGTCGTGTTCAATGGCATTAAAACGATACAAACGCTGCTGAGGGTTAATCCATAGGTTAATCCAATGTGTCTGTCACTTTGAAACAATTTATTGATAATCCATAATTCAATTATGTAAAAATCTGAGAATAAATATTAGCTGCTAATGGTAGCCACCAGAGTGTATGCAGCTTCCGGTTTTGGCTACGCGTCACTCTCACTCCTTATTTGGTAACGTGTGTGCGTATATGGGACTCCCTCTTGATTCTATTGGCTTTAGCGGTTAAAAGGAGATGTCAATCACCAAAACCGAGCAAGGGGGGCCAGAGATAGGTCAAATCCACCCAAATGACCCCAGAAGTGTTTTTTTTCTTCTCCTAAATCTCTCTAAAAAGGTCAAATGTCACTTGTTTTGCATCAATCTTGATACAGGGTACTTATATGTTATAGTTTGGATTCCTAAAGCTTTTAGTCTACCATCCCATCATTCAAGGGTGGTTTTCACTATAATATAAGTATTTTTTTATTTTTGGACGGACACAATAATTTACATTTTTTTACTGTGTTCAATCTGAATTTACTTTAAAATAAAAACATCTACATTGATTCTGACGCTTCTACATCCAACTCACAGATGTAACCTTGCTTTGAGAAAAAAGATTATTAATTTAACCATTTTAGAAGTGAAGATATGGTCATTTGTTCTGGGAATGTCATTTTTGAGCCTGAGACCTGAAAATCAGGCTCGGGGCTTAACAATTAAGGCTTTGCGCACTTCCTGTTCTCAACATCGCTAATGATGACAATGATTAGCTGCAGCCCTGCAACATAGCATATTATAATGAGAGGGCTTTGAAGTCTGAGAGCGTGTTCAGTTCTTGCTAGCTGATTTTTATTTGTGTATCGAGCTTGCTTATTCTGTATTTATTCAGTGTAGCATAACGTGCTGCTCACTCTACCTCGTGTTTGTGACAGACTGACTCACTTTGTGGGTTGCCAGGCTTGTCCACCACTGTGTGAGTGTTGTACTCTCCTCTTCCTCTCACTGTAGTCTCTCTCTCTCTCCCCCCATGCCTTGGTCTTTCCCCCATCAGCCCCCACACGTCAATCAAAAATCGACCTTTATTTGATTAATGCCTCATTTCAGAATCCTCATCACGTCGCCGCTTCCCTCCACGCGGTCACTAAAGGTGGTCTCTCTTCAAAAGAGCGTAGCCGTTGCATCTACATTTCAAATCACTGACAGCCAGGCTGCACGGAGATGTGATCGGCCTGGAGGTTGTACACCGCAGAAATGTGGTCACAGTCAGATCAAAAGACCTTTAAAACCTTGTTTACGAAGAGCCTCCTGACATTCTCAATTTTAACCGCGCTGCTGTGTCCCTTTAGCTGCAGTGGATGAAACAACTGATCAAACTTTAGCTATGGGGCTGTAGCTCTGTTATTTCTGTCTACATTCCCATGTGTGTTTGCATGTACGCTTTATTTGGCCAATTAGCGTGCAATTCAAGTGAAATGTGACACCACGGTTTGATATCTCAACGTAACAAGCACACTTAGATGAGATCACTGTGAGCAATAAATAAGATTAGCACACAGAAACACAGGCGATTCATAATCCGACTGTGAGCGGGTTATGCAGGCCCTGGAGCCAAGCAGATTTCTGTGTGTGTGCGTGCGTGTACGTGTATGTGTGTGTATAAATGATTCAGCAGTTGGCGAGGCACGCATGCAAGAACATTCAGATTTGGGGCCAATACCAAGTCATTGTTTTGGAAATCACAAGTAAGGCTTCAGTCTTTGCACTGAAGTCTGATCAATTCCATTCCAAGTCAAGTATCAAGTCCCAAGTGGCAAGTCAATAGTCATGTCTGACATCCAAATAATTATCCCAAGTAAATTCCTAAGTCAAGCCTAGAGAGCCCAACTACGAGTCCTAAGTCAAGTCTGAAAAGAAGGAAGTCAATACTGACAAGTGCCAAGTCAAAACAGTCATGTCCCAATTGAAGACAGCCGAGGCCCAAGTTCTTAATTCAGAGCTAAGTGTCCTTAACAAGTCGTAATGCCTCTTGTGTAATTTCGGCCTGAAGTTTTGCATACTGCAATATTTTTTGTATTCGCCACCGCCTAGTTCTTGTACGTTATCAATTTATGGTATAATGTTTTCCAACTGGCGCTCAGTAACAGCATTCATTCATTGTTCATTGTTTATTTCTGCAACCTGATAGGATGCTGATAGTTATGACAAAGTGCATCTGAGGAATTAAGGGTGGGCTTCCTGGTGAGGAATAACTTGACCCTTTGTTAATTCAGAAAATGATGGGAAATGTATTTATTGGTCGCAGACTTTTAGATAATGCTTTAATCTTTGGTCTTGAAATACAAAATTGGGTTCAAGTCCAATTGAAGTCATGTGTCATTGGGGTTAAAATCCAAATGGTGTTCCAAATCTTTTTTAGATTTTAGATTTGTTCAAATGTGTGACTTGAGTCGAAGTGATGTGCCTCCCCTCCTCCCTTCTTGTAACACGTAATAGTTACTTGGTACTTGGAACTCCTGTAATGATGTGTGAGCAAAATAATGTGGCAGACGACCTCCCAACAGCTTCCTGTCCTCCATTACGAAGCCTGAAGCCATAACAAGATTAGCATAAGCACTTTTAGAAAAGTCACTGTGAATTGGAGCCTAAAAGAGGCTTAAACTGTCTCCCCTTCACCAGCAGCTGATAGATATTGCGCGCTGACTGGCACATCTGCTTTGCTGCTGTAATGTTAGTACTCTTAGTGATCTCTAGCCCTGGCAAATCAATGCAAGTTCCATCATAGGGGGACGCTCAGTGTAGAGACAGAGAGCAAATCACTTGTATAAACGATAGCAGCTATCAGGCAAATGGGCTGAAAATGGTTCCTAATGGTGCCTGGTATGTCTGGTGTAAACTGCAGCCAGGCTCTTTGTCGTCCATCACCCTGGAGCATATGTAACTGAAGGAGGGGAGGCAGCACGAGAGAAGAGGAAGAGGAGGAAGCATCTGTTTGTTCGGCATGGGAACCCCTCAGGGGGGCTACACGATAATCCGGGTTCACGTCAAACCAAATCTGGTGTCTGTGCTGCAGCATGACGCTGAGTCACTTAGTGAGTCTGCATGTCAAACAGCGGAAATCACTCAGTCAGCACCCCCGGTGTGTGACCTTCACTCAGCCGACAGCTCCATGTACTGATGGGAGTTTAAAAAGGCCCACTTATTCTGTCTCTCGTCTTTTGTAAAAAACCCATCGGTAATTGAAGCAGAGTTGGCTGAAAAGCTGCAGACCATAACAAAATGAATGACTCCAAACCCTCCTAGAGACCCCTGGATTCTGCGAATGAATAGTAAACAATGGTCAGGAGGGCGGGAACGTTTTCAGTGTGAGCAATCATAACGGGACACTGTGGCGGCATTAGTCATCGACTTCAATCATGAGTTTCACTAGACAGTAGCAGTTGTTGCTGAGTAAACAAGCACGTCTTTAGTTTAGGTTTGACCATTTCAATTATCTCCCCCCTTGCCCAGACTGCTGTTTTCCCGGAAACAGTAATCACATTCACTATTAATGAGCCGTGATGTTCATCCTGCACCCATTTACTGCTCTCAATAATGCATAGTCTTTGGAATTGCCTGTGCATATTTGACACCATGCCCCCTCCCCCCCTGAGAGGGATATCAGTGGTGTATTGGTCTATGTGGCCCCAGGCTCTCTCTACATGTTCTCCCAGGGAACAATGTCTCATGTGTGTCTCTGACTAAGACAGCCTGGTGCGTGGAGATAATATAACACCGCGCTGAGGCCTGGAGAGCATCAAGGTGCTAACACACTTGTTGAAGGACCTCTGTCTTCTTCATTTAAGCCTCTCTATTACCCCTCACTTAACCGTGATTTTAATAGGCTCTTCAGTTTGTTAATATAGGCCCAATGATCTCTTTAAATAAGACAATGACCACAAATTGGACACATCAGTGTTTCAATGCGATTTCGCCCGCATCATGATTGTCATTAAAGCAGGAAATAGTGCCATGTCGGTTTAAGTGCTCCGTAAAGAGTCTCGTCCTGTCAGAAGCGAGGGAAAGTCACACAAAGGATTTGAAAAGCTCATTAACAGTGACAGCATAAAATGAATTTAATCAGCAGAACATTGAGGCTACTATTGAGAGACGGCAGATGGGGGTGGGGGGGGTGGTTAATCAAAATTCCACACTCGGACCCCTGGTGGCATTTGAGCAGCATATCAATTCCAGCCGGAGTGATGATGGAGGATTGTATGTGCGTGTATGAGGAAGGCAGGTCAGACTCGGAAAGATTGGCAGGTTCAGCTCTCAAGTGGGCCAGTGCAGGGGGCGGGGGGGGGCGAGGGTTGCTCAGGATCTTGAGTGAGTCAGCGTGATGCAATACAGAAGACTTGGAGTAGCTAAGAGAGGGGGGGGTCAGATTGTGGTGCAATGTGAGGAGGAAGAGGAGACAAAGGCCAGGAGACAGGGGTATGGAGAAGCGGGTCAAGCGTGTGCGGTATGTTGACGGTGGGGGGGGGGGCGTGTGGTTCAGATGTGGCCACAGGGCTCACCCCCCTCCTCCTGATGAGGTCTGTCACCGCAAACTCCACCCGCTGCTGCCCCTTCTTCCTCCCCTCTCACCCCCTCTGTGAAGGTGCACTGAATACGGAAAGTCTGGCTTACAAAGGATGCTCTTTCCTCCTTCCCTTGCTCTGTCTCGCTCTACATTCTCTCTCACCTCCCTCCCTTCTCTCATTCTCCGTCTCTGAGCTGCCTTCCCTTATTCTCTGCACCTCTCTATTCCTTCATCTTCACCCCTGCCTCTCTGCCTCCCACCCTCCTCCTCCTTCGCCGTATTTGTTTCACAAAACCTTCCATCTACTCCTCTCTGCTTCGCCTCCTCTCCTCCCCTCGCTCTCTGTCTCTCTCCCTCAGAAATGCATCTATTATTAACACACACCTCTGGCTTTTGCCAAAGACTGAACTAAGGTTTAGGGCAAGCTCCTCTGCATTTTAATCACCCACAATGAGCAAGAAAATCCTGAATAAAAGCAATCGCACCTGCTTCTTTTGGTGAAGGCAATGAATGTGTTCCTGGATACAGTATGCAGATCATTCCCTGCACCATGCTGTATCCTCATCCCAATGCTGCTTCCCTCGAGGCTTCATGCTGAGAGAGGCACACCAGTGCATGTATAGAAAAATCAATCAGGCAGCATCCGAACACAGAAATACACGAGGAATCAGAGCTTGTATTCCAGCAAATAATGTCAGTCCTGCTGTCAGGGAGACGTTACTGTAACTGTAGAATTAGTCGTGCACGGGTTCCCACTGCGGAGGTGGTGTTTAACCTCCCTGCAGCAGGTTTCTGCAGCGGCTGCCATGCGAGTGCTCAGCGAGGCGCTGTCAGGAGAGCAGGGAGAAGCGCAGGCGAGAGGCATCCCCGGTGACTAGCATGGCCTCTTTTCATCTTCTGCTTTCCCCCTCTCTTTGAACAAACACAAGGGTTGAGGGCAGGGATCTGTCAGAGGTCCACAACTCGCAGAGAGAGGAATTACACTGCTGCAAGATGACTGAAATCCCAAAGTCATTACCGCTTTGGCTGGCAGGGCTTACTGAACTAAGGGATGCATGCTTTGTGTTTGAGGGGGCTGCTCTCTAATTATGATGTGAAAACAGTTGGGAAAATCCACAAAGCTGAAAATGAGATAAGTCTGAGTTTGTCCCTTTTATCACTGTTTTATTTATACTGGTAAACATCAAACAGAAACAACAGCAAAATCAAGAGCTGACGTCCTCCCATACTTGTGATTATCATTTCTCTTACATCGACAAGTTAATTTACAATGGTTGTCATCTGCGTGACACGATAACGCCAGTAAGTAAAAAATATGGAAATATGGAAATATTCCTCTGGATCTCATCCTCGCGTAATATCAGATCACTATCCGTACCTGTCATGCTGTTGGTGTTGGTGCAATTGTCGCTCAAATCAGGCATGACAGGAATCCTATCAGAGTGGAGTCTTTATGTAATTATGTGATCAAAATGTATCGATTCAAACCGGAGGGCAGTATTAGGCTGAGTCGACTAGTGCCACAAAAATACTGCATTGTGCTGTGTTTGGGGGTGTCAGGGATGGAAAGATGGAGCGCTGTCTGTCTACTACATTCTGTTCCAACACCTCTGGGATGTAAAGCACATTCATAATCTCTCCATCCACCACCAAGGTAATTAAGACAAGTCACCGTCTTTCTGTAGAGCTGGAGACAAGAATCATGTTCAAAGTCTACAGAGATTGTATCGCTTTAAGTAACAGGGAATGACACTGAGTATAATAACCCCCTGCATGTTTCTCTCTTGGTTATAATACAGTATGTCCAGATTACTGCATCCAATACCACATGAACACCTATGGTTGTACTGAAATATATAGCATCTCACACAACTAAACATTTTTTGTACATGAAGTTGTTTTATACATCGTTGTGCCATCCGTCAAAGTCTCGTCAAACGCCGTTACAAAGATGACTGATAGGGTATAAGGTCGAAAACATATTTTTGAAATGTTTCCCAATAACCCTGTGTGCCTGCTTTGCCCTCATATATATGAGAGAAGCTTACAGGTCCGTCAATAGAGAGCACAAAAGCTCAAAATCAGGCATTAAATCCCTTGTCTGTTCCACAACGGGCCACAAATCCGATCCAAGAAAACGAGGGACCGCAGGTGATAAACTCCAAATCATAAAGTGCTCTCCAGAAGCCACTCAGACTTGGAGAACTTGTCCCTGGCCCGGTGAATGTTTGTGGAGCCGTCCAGCTGCGGCAGCTCCACGCTCATCGACAGGCTTCTCTTGGAGCGCAGGCTGGCCCCGGGTCTGGGGTAAGCCACATAACAGTGCTCCATATATGAGTCAGCGTTCAGGGAGTGCCTGCGGTTCACCCTCACTCCCCCTGCGGGTACAGTCATGTAATGTCGAGGCGCTGGCTGGGGCCGCGGACCCCTGGGTGCTGCGGTCCATTTGTTGGGCTGGCCAGGAAAAGCCAGTGCGACGGCGGTGTTCATTTTAACCTCTGACGAGTTATTCCGGTTCATGTTATCAAGCTCCACATCAGCCCGGCGAGCCTCTGAGGGTTTGGGTGGAGCGGTGGAGCGTTTGGGCCGGGGAGCGCCCGGGGAGGCCGGGTGCCAGCTGTGAGTGGCAGCAGAGTTGGAGACAGTGCAGTCTGGGATGGTGGGTTTGGTGGAGGCTTCAACGGCGGGCTGTTTCTGCTTGGCTGGCTCCGGAGGCGGCAGGGAAATCCGGAGGCACTCCTTGTCGTTCTTCTCGGGACGCAGGACCTGCTTGGAGAGGGACTTAGGAACCCCACAGCCCTGCAGCTGTCCATCACTGCTCAGTGAGCGAATATCCCCCATCTCTAGAGCCTGACACGACCCGAGACAAGTAACAGAAGAGAGGACAAGTTAAAGCAATTCTATTAGACACTCCTGATTCAATATCATCAGAAACAATGAACACAAAAAGAACAAAACACAGCCAAACCGACCTTATCTGTATCTCCTTGGTTACACACCCTGTAGCGCACAATGAGGAAGATGATAAAGGCGAGCACTGAGGCCACAATTATCCCTCCAATGATAACCACAATGGTGCCGCCAAGAAACTGGGACTGCATGAAGTGGCATCTCAGGTACTGCGGCTCTGTGGTGAAGTGGATACACCCGATCACCCTGGTGGCCGTCAGCGAGGTGACCTGGTCATCGTAAATGGCCAGCACACACAGGTCGTAGTGCGTTCCCGCCGCCAGGTTGTTAACCGTGATGCTCTTACTGGTCGGGGGTATCATTCTGTAAAAAGGAAAAACAAAAGCTTTCTGAGTGATGACATAGATTAGGGAGAGTTACATGAAAAGAGACAAAATCAGATTATCCAGTTTATTGTGTCGAAGGGATAAAATGACGTGACAATCATTTATCTCCCAGGGGTTATTTAAGATCCGTCTAGGCATAATCTTTTGTGGCATTTGATTTTCTCCAGCGTCTTTACTGATAAAAGGTTGCTTTCTGTCACCGGGGAAGCAGGTTTTGCTCTCAACATCAAGATTACGGAGCCAACTCCCTAATGTGTCCTGATTTCAGTAGCCACTGCCAAAAACCATATGTGTACTCGAGCAAAGTTTCTGTGGAAAAAAGGGGCTTGTGCGACGATCCTGTAAAATCAGTGATAAGCACTGAATATGGAGTTAAAGAGGCCAGAGAAGAAAGAGTGCTGTGTACGACAGTTTCTCAGATGGGCATGTGCGAAAGCCTCTGATGCTTTTCGTGAAACACTGGCTGACTACTCTTTCATCCTTCTATCAGTCCGCAGCTTAGTGCTGACGTTCTGTTTTGATTTAGTTGATTAAGCATTATCAAGGTTTCGCACAAAGTAAATGATACACTCTTGTGAGGGGGGATTATGAGTGAAAGAATAAGGAGTAAAACACAGCGCATTAGTCTGTCTTCCTGATGGGATTAATAGACACCATCAAATAATAATGCCAAAAGCCAGGTCAAGTTCCTAATGACTAAACATCCAGATGGATTTAAGCAATCAAAGCAGACTTTAAAGGTAAAACAGGGGTCAAGGACTTCTTAATATTATGAATCCATCTTAAATGCATTGGTATACATCCAGATAAAGATTTAAGGTTTGTTTACTGGATTAAATTGTGTTATTTGGCCCATATTTCAACGTGCTAACTAGCTCTAACCTTGTTTAACCCATCAGGCCAGTAATAATTGTTTACCTGTAAACCAGTGAATCATCATAGGTGCCATTATACTGGATCTGGAACATGCGTATTCCAGGAATACTCCTCTGGAAGTTAAACTTGACCATGGCCGAGGTGGACGTGGCCTCAGCGATCACTACTTTCTTCTCCTGGCTCGTCTTTGCGTTCCCCAGAGGCAAACCTCCATCCTCTACCCCCGTTTTTGTCACTGTGGCGATATCTGATGACCCGGGGTCGGGCTCCTGCTCTGCGACTGTGTTGTTGGTGATATGAGGGAGTTTGGCAATGACAAGATCCACCGTCTGCTGGGCTTCACCTGCCGGGTTGGAGGCCACGCAGGTGAAGGAACCTAGAACAAAAACGAAATTGATTAATGTCCATCCTTTAGTAATTGGAATATACAAAGTAGTGCCCTGAAAAATTATATATATTTGTACCTTAGCATAAAGAAATTTAGGAATTCAGACTCGTTTGCCTTCCTGCCAAGAGTTTGATGATAAGATTGATACAAATGTTCTATCTGTGGATATAATGCTGAAGCCAGAGACCGGCACCTGTCCCATATTTGTCCATACGATTTTAAATCTGGAGCCAGCAGCAATTTAGCTTAGCTTAGCAAATAGACTTTAAGATAAGCAGAAAAGCAAGCATTTCTAATTTCAGCAGGAACCTACCAGCTTCACTAAAGCTCACTAATCAACATGTTATAGCCCTCTTACTTAATCTATACAAAACCCCTATTGTAAAAGCAGCAAATGGTGGAATCAATAAAGGTTTCTAACACTGTGAGTATGCTTACGGTTAGCTTTTTCCTTCTGTCAATCAAAGTTTAGTGGCTGCTATACTTTAGCTTCATTTATAATATCATAATTTAATGAGACAGTACCAATTTTCTTATCTAACTCCCAGCAAGAAACCAAAAAAAAGTTGCCATTTTTAAACATTTGATGATTTACTCTATTATATTAGAGTATATATACTCTATTACTCTACTATAAAACAAAAAGGTCTAAGAAAGTACATGTTGGCAAAAGGATAGCTAAATGACTTTTAGCCAACAAGGTGAAAAAGTCATTTTTGTATTCCGTTGTGGCTTTAATCGAAGGCTCTGAACTTTATCGCCTGATGTCGACAAATACTTCAGCCCTATAGCCTTCTGCGAACATGAGCAAACAACTAATTCTGTTCAGTCAACAACACAGGCACAGCCCTCTGGGGTGCAAACAGACCGGAGTCCTTGACGGTGCTGATGAGGATGTCCAACGTGCCGTCTGAGTGGACTGCGGCCCTGGAGGAATTGGACATCAGGCGTCCATCAGGGGCGATCCAGTGGATAATGGGGTCGGGATCCCCCCTGGCCTTACAGCGCATTGTCACACTCTGACCCTCCAACGCTCGCAGCTCCTGAGGCAGAGGCAGGAAAGGCGGTTAGTGGGAGGACTATGTTTAAAACAGAGACACAGTGGAAAACACTTTGTACAAACAGTTACCATATGTGCTGTAGCTTTGGCTTATATATTATTTTAAATGCTATTATTGATGATGTTGTGTGTAATAGCTTTATTCCCTATAAATATAATCACCGATTGATCATTGTCACGATATTGAATTATCATGCTAATGAAGGCAAGATAATCAATGTGACGGTACATTGCAGTGTATGTGATGGAGTCCAAGTAAACACAATTTCCTCTGCAATTATGCAAAATAAGTCTACTGAATGAGAGGAGCTGTAGTTATTTGGCAAGGATTTGATCAGATAATTATTTTGGATGCATGAATCAAGGACTAAATCACTGTAAGCTTTCCCTGTGTAATAAGAGCTCAGTGCAGATCCTCATACACCTGCAAAGAGCTTTATTAAAATGGTTACTGAAAGATTATCTAAGAATTCTATCACAGGCCAAGGTTTGATCACATGTTTTAAGTAAGTCCAATATATTTGACAGTATTCAGTTAGCTGAGCTACCCAGATGAGACCCACAGGTCTTGTGAGACTCGTCTGGTTCGCAAAGCTAATATTTGGTGTGACAGTCAAAGAAAGTGCCACCTGGGATTAACTGAGGCAGAGTCTAACGTCTGGCTCAGAGACTCTAACATTAGTGAGTGTTGTGTCATACAGTGCACAGCTCCAGTTGGAGGTCATACCTGAGAGTGCCTGGTGATGAGAGGAGGCTCACACAGGAACTCTTCCTCTGAGACAGTCCAGAAATAGCGCCCGGCGAGGTGTTGCGGTGAGGCACAGGTCTCCAGATCATCCTCCCTCCGCAACCTCCGCAACCAGAGAAGCTCACAGTTACACCTCAGCGGGTTCCCTCCAAAGCTCAACGCAAACGACGTGGGCCCCATTATCCCAGAGGTGGCCAGGACCCCGGCTCTTTGGAAAATAGGGTCAGGGGGAAGCTTCTGGAGCTTGTTGGAAGTCACGTCCAGCCTCTTGAGCTTCTGCAGCCCCGAGAAGGTGCCCTCTGGGATGTAACCGAGCATGTTATGGTCCAAATTGAGCGTATGGAGATTGGACATCCTCTGAATGGCCACCCACGGCGCACTTTCCAAGTTGTTGTAGGATAAGTCCAGCTCTTCCAGCGCTGTCAGATCATTGAAGGCCCCGATGTGTATGTTTGAGAGCTGGTTGTTGTTGAGGTTGAGGTGGTGCAGCTTGGACATGCCGCTGAAGGTGTCGTTGATGATGCGGGACAGACGGTTGCTATCCAGGTGAAGGGCTCGCAGGTTCTCCAGGTCCTTGAAAGCGAGGGGTGCGATGGAGCCGATAGTGTTTCGAGACAAGGTCAGGTCCACAAGCCTTGTCATGTTGGCAAAATCTTTCCGTTTGACGCTGGTTACAAAGTTATCCCCGAGACGCATCTCCACCGTGTGCTTGTCGATGTTCGGGGGCACAAACAGAAGACCCTTTTTGTCGCACAAAGTTGCCAAGTTGGGGTTGAGCACCTGGCAGACACAGCGTTTGGGGCAGACCTGGATTTTGTGGGCCTTCACGGCCACACCGAGGACTATCAGGTAAACCAGGAGGGACTCCATTTGGCTTTTCAGTCAGGTTAATACACCTAAAAAATATCCAAGCAAAAAGAGAGAAAGAGAAGTGCCTATTACTCTTTTAGCTGTTTAAAAATGCAAAGCAGGAATTGTTAGCTGTATTATATTCATCACAATGTAATTTCTGTAGCTGGGTAATCACACATGCAATAAGAGCTCCCCCTTCAAAACAGGAACTTGGGGATTCTGCTGTGTAAAGTTAAAGCTTTTTTTACGCTAGATTTGAGGCACACTCATTGCTCACAGCTAGGATTTCAGACTTGTTCTCCAAATTCTCAGCGGTAAACTAAGAGAGTCGATGCCTGAACAAACAATAAACGCTGTGCAATTAGACATGAAACTAATTAGTCACCTGCAGACTTGAGAGCGAAACATCCCCAGAAATCTTGTATGATTTTTTTGTGACAGCTCTCTATGCAAGCCCCTACTCGCTTATACTTTTTTGATGTGATAATGGCAGTCCTTTTATGTCGGTGTATAGAAGGATGAAAGTCTAGACTGGCAGTCCAGAGCCTCGTCCGAATTAGACGGAAATCTCCCAGGATCGTATCACCAATAGGAAGGGATGATTGGGCCCAGTGCCTCAGCGAGTATGTGCTATGCCTTGCTATCGATTTTCTCTCTTGCTCTCTCTGCTGCTACTCTTACTTATGACACAGCCGAGATGGGGGATAAGAAGGGATCCATTTGATGATTCCTGAGACCTTGTCAGGGATATAGCATGTCATAAAACTAAGACAGTGGAAATCAGTTCACAGCTCCTCAGGTGCACCCTGACCGTGTACTAGAACGACAGTGACATTATCCGTGATTATTTTAAGAACTGACATTTAGTGTCATTTTGGTAGAACATGTAATATTCAGCTCTCTGGGTGTCCTGTTCCAGCGCATAGAAAGAAACACAAATCCTATCTAACACAGGGAACAAGAGATGCAATCCCACAACTGTAGTAAAAATCCAAAGCCTAACCTTTAAATACAGAAGAGAATGGCTGATTTATGATTATAGCTTTCTGTGGTCTGCTGGTAATGTCTCCATTGTCGACGCAGGGTCTCGGAGAGAGTGCATCAAATTCTGGCCTCAGCAAAGAGCTTGCCAACAGAGCACCTTCATGCTTCAAAAGCCTCTGTTGCACCGGAGCTGTGACACACAACTGGCAGCGTATTAACCTTGAAAGTCAGAGTGTGCGGGAAAATATCATAGAGCAGAGAAAACATCACACGGGATGGGATTGACACGCTGGCCATGTGGGGCAATGTTTTTAACGTAAACCATGATGGCATCCGCCTAAAACAGTTTTGACAGCTGGGTAAAGTGTATCACAGCTTTTGACAAGGAGGCAGGAAAGAGGTCGAGTTAAAATGGCCCATAATAGCAAAGGGAGGGAAGATATCCTTGAAGGGAGAGCGCTGGACGTGACATTTTCATAAAAAGTGCTGATCGAGCAGCAATGAATCAATGTCTGTCTCGGCCCATTTTTTTACAGGGGACAGCTTTACCAAGTAACACAAGAGCCCCTTTTTGAGGATTGTAGTCTGGGGTGCAGTGGTGCCGAGATCTGATCTGCCGAGAAATGGACTCTGGAGTCAATAATAAATGTTGTCGAGACCCTTTAAGAATTCTTAAAGGTGGCAGACGACTTCCGTGCCAAGCTGTGATGCAAAGTGTAGTGGCCCATAGGTGGAAACTTCAATATTGACTCTGTGTGTGTGCATCCGAGGAGAGAGTATAGAAGATGAGATGTACATAAGTTATTTCATGTGTGTGTGTGCCAACCACCTTCTGCTCTGACTGTGAATGGCACGGCCTCTGGATGTGCAATGAGGTGGAGCGGACCTGCTACTTCCAGACTCGAATAGCGTTGAAGACGTGATATTGATTCACTCTGTGGAGATGGGTGCTTTTTTCCTTCCCGCTGCTGAAAACTCAGCCAAATGTGAAGAGAATGGTTGCAACGGTAATCCCTACAAAACTCCTTCTGTGAGGACAAAAGGGACAGCACCCTCGCGGCTGAGAAGGGGCAGGCAAATGTCTGTCGCCGTCCCCCTGATTTGCATTTCATTATGGTTGTTCCACAGGGATTTGCACAACAGGTTGCACTCATCAGGTACATGAACAAATAAGAAGATAATAAATCAATGTGTTCATCAATCACACACTCTTTTAATGTCACGCCCCCTGCCAGAAAATCATTATCCTCCAGGTTGGGCTGTTTAATATAGTGAGGTGACATGGGAGGGCCACAAATAAACAAGAAAACAGATAATCTACTGATGCATTAACCATAGTCTCCCTCATAGTCAATCAAATGTCCGTTTACTACCTCTGAGCAGGTATTTTCTCCCTCAGAGGACAGAACAGACTGACGGCTCACACCCACACTCGCACACCGGTGGGTGGATTTGTGCCTTATAGAGGTAGCTCACTACACAATAACCCCCAGCAATGGAGACAGACATTCATGCTTAGCAGCAACAGCAGCAGCAGCAGCAGTAGCAGTGTACTGTAGGAGAGGATATCTATGGTCTCCCTGGGGCAGCATTCTCCAAGAAAAGCCTTATGCAGCACACTGCATGCCAATCGTTTGGTGAGGTAATGGGGGATATGTTTTCAGATGGTCTAACTTATGCTGTATAGCTCATGTGAGAAAGACTCTGCAATCCACGTCTTGGCAGGGAATCAGGGGAAGCAGGCCTGCGAGGGGAAGTTAATGAGATGGAGTCTGCCTGCTATGCCTCCACGCAGGCCGAAAGCGTGGCACATGGCAACGACTCGGCGAGGCTCACCTGGGTTACTCTCTGAAAAGCTGCCGGACGTCTGTTGGTGCCAGACATAAGCTCAGTTGTGTCAAGGAGGCAAACTGATGCTGCAACATGATGGTAAAACGGTATCGACAAAGCAGTGAAATGGGTCCTCAGCCTGCTTGCTTTATGAGCCCAAATGGAGCTGCTGCTGCTGCTGCTGCTGCTAAAGGGGATCATATTCGGACTGAGCCGCTAGAAATTCAGTTTTGTCGGGTAAACGCTCATGTCCAAACATCCTGACCAAACACTGATGCCGTTATGGAGCGTCTAGCTAACACATGTGTGTTTGTGAATGAGTGTATGTGCCCGTGACACCCTTTCCCTACACCGCCTGCCAATGTTAGAATGCGATAGCTCTTGGGTGACAGCCTTGATGCCATGGCAACACAGAAAATGTCAGTTTTGGGTGCGATGTAATCAGTGGCACATTTTCAGATCACCTTATATTATACAGAAAAAAAGTCCTTGGTAATTGGGGTGCTGTTTGAAGGCTGGAGCAGACTCATTGTACACTCTATGACCGTGTGGTGTCGGATCTCAAGCAGGTTGTGCACTCAGCTAATTTTGCATCGGAGACAATGTTTTCCCAGGGTTGTGCGTAATAAAACTAAATGACTTTATATAGCTCTCTGATGTGAAATTATGTTTCAGGCAGACCTGTGTGTGTGTGTGTGTGTGTGTGTGTGTGTGTGTGTGTGTGTGTGTGTGTGTGTGTGTGTGTGTGTGTGTGCCAGGGGTACAGCATACTAAGCAGACCCCACTGCATCAATAGAAGTGCTGTTCATCAGCATTTACAACTCCCCCTTGCCATTCCAAGTGTTTTCCTTCACACAGGAAATTCTGTGATTCCTTGGGTATCCCATGACAGGAGCGTCAGTAGACAAACAACAGCAGAAAACATATTTTAGATGTTGTGTTCTGTCAAAGCAGGAGACTGAACGGGCCAAATTGAAATGCTGATCACTGTTTCTGGATCTAAATTCTTTCACCGTCGTGACGTGCCCTGATGTGAGGGGCTTATGACCTGGGATTTTCTTCCGGAAAGAGCGATGCCGAACACCACCTCAGAATATCAATATGGCCTCCCCATGTGAATGTTGGAGTATGGCTGGAAGTTGGAACGCATGTAGACTGTCAAATCTACCATCTCACCTGCAGTTTAAGGTACAGAAGTGTACGATAAAAGCTACATCTCTTAGGAGAAAAAACATGATCATGGGCTCTTTTCATGTAAGAGCCTTAATATCGTAAGATAAGGAAAGCAGAAATGTAATACATAATCAAAATCCATTGAATCATTTTCACTCTTTCAAAGACACTCTGGATCTTGTGTTCTACCTCACACAGCAACACAATGGCTAAATAATGCATAATCTTCCCTCTTCTTATTGTGTTGTGCAATGAAAGGAACTCATACACATCATGTAGGTTAAATGAAATTATGTGAATGTCAACTAACCTCAAGTCAGTTTAAAATCCTAATAAAGGCACATCTTTAGCAAAGACAAACGGTTTTCTTGAGTAGAGTACAAATTGGGGTCAGCGAATGTAGAGCCGGTCTGCAGAACAGCCTCTGTGCTGCTGAGGAACCACATATCACTTATCTGATATCAGTGATAGGTACACAGTACTTGATCTATATCACTCACTCAGTGCATTAAATTATCAGTAAGAGCAAATAGAAGCAGCAACATTAGGCGTGGGCCTGGTTTTTACTGGTGTAGCAGTTACAATGGTGCCTGAGGCACTCATGAATAATGAGATATGTGATAACTAACACTCGACACAAGACAAGACCATCAGGTTTACCTCAACCCTTTTATGAAAATCACCATGATCACATTTCCACCTGTCTTCATCAGTCACCTGGCAACACGTCCCCCCCCCCCC